CCTCACACGGTTATGCAACACGTCTTGAGGCGTGAGATTACAGCAGCTATCAGTCGCAGCAGCTGCTGTGACGCAGGACAGTGTTTAGCGGTGAGCGTCTGAGAGGATGTGTTTAAGAAAAGAAATATGACGGAAACCATAATGACCGGTCTGCTCTGGCTAACCCACATAAACACAGACAGGACGACAGTCTCCGAATGTGTTGTGTTACTGACTCACTGCATGTGAAATAGACATTCAGCAAAGTGTGTTGGATGACTGACTTTGGCATAGAGTTCTGAAAAATTGGTAGATTAATCATCCAATCATAATGAGCTGCTATATGACTAGCATGGACTATTTTGATGCCTTCATGATGGTCAGCATTTGTATTTATTATGCAATGAAGAGCAGATGTTCTTTTGGGCTCCACTGAAGAAACCGAGGTTTGGAATGACTTTAATGAACTCGTTCATCACCAGTCTTCCTCCTAATAAACCACACTCAGAGAAACAGTCAACCACTACAAACGTGTCGCAGGAGCTTCATTTTATTTGCTTGTAGCTGCAACCATGCTCAGAACGTTCTGATGTTGATATAGATGTAGCCTTATAACAGCTGGATTAACAATAAATACAGAGGATATAAAAACAACAGCGATGCCGACGCTGTCAGGGCTGGAGTAAAACGCAGGAGTCGATATGAAAAGCAGCTTCGTCGATCAACAGATCTGCAACACAGACGTCATACGATCAGGAACACGACTGAGAATTGAGAACACACTGGACATCAGACGGTGGCATACACACCTTTGTTCAGGGCAGATTGTTCTGGATGCTGTTCAGAATGTTTCCGTACACAATGTTGTACAGCTGGTCCTTGGACATGGCTCCATCTAGTTGCACTGCAACACAAACACGATTACAGTGTCAACGACGCTCGTAACAGCAATGCATTACAATACTGAGTTACGGAGAGTTCCGGTGCTTGATTCTGATTGGCTGAGCCGCGTTCGAAGCTGTTGTAAATGACTCTACAAAGTAACACACCTTTGTTTACGTTTGTCTGTTGCTCGGCAACCACTTTGTTGCAACCACAACTGTTTCTGAGGAGCTACATTGTTTGGTGGAAGAATACTGTTTTTATTAATATCATTACACTTTATTTGCTCTGTTTTATTCTGTGAAACCTTACTACGTATATGGAATAACCGTTTTATAAAAGCAATAAGCCCCGTGAAGCTGTGGTTTACAGTGAATTTATAACAGCTAAGGGGTGTTGTTAGGTACGCGTTAGTAATGCATTACTTGAAAAAGTAATCCGATTACGTCACTCGCATTATACCTTACCCCAACACTGATTAGCGGGAACTTACCGACATCAACCCCGGAGTCCTCCATGATTTTAGTGTGTTTGACATACATGGGCCAGACGTGTCCGTCGAACAGACCGGGTGGGTCCGGCACGGAATAGTTCCTTGAGCTGAAACACAGATACAGTGAGATCAGATGCATGCTGGACCTTCATCCGCGCCTTCAAACGCAGCGGGCGTCACTCACCTCCTCCTCTTTTTGCACTCTTCGTATGGAATGGAAATGAAGTATCGCTGGTTGAATACATCGATCAAAGGTCTGCGCAAGAGACAGCGTTCAGTAAAAGCATGGGTCTGATTGGTCAGTCGAACACGTTTGCATGCGGCGCTCACCCGTAGGTGTAGAGCAGAAACCCCTCCACGATCAGGATGTGAACGCCTTCGTCCGGAGCGCGCGGATGCATCTCCGAGTCCAGCGAGTTGTTGACGCCGTGGGATCGTTCGAACTTGACGGGGTTTTGCTGCCAGGCCTGGATGGTGCTCATCATGGCATCCATGTCCAGAGCGCTGATGACTGCGGAGGGAAACACGCACAAGTGAGCGCAAGGACACGGTGCGGATCGCCAGACATGCAAAAACACACGCACCAACCCCTGGATAAGAGCCCGGCTTACCATCATACTGCTTAAAGCCATCTTCATCAACTTCAATCTCATCTTGGGGCTGAAACATACACCAATGAGACGCACTCCAGAACACTGACCCTCCCACCGCTACACTCTTAACCTCTGACCTCTGTGTGTGATCAATGCCAAGCTCTGCTTTCTGATTATACTGACCTTGAAGAAGTCATCCTGATGGACCACACAGCAGTTAGGCAGGTTCTTGATCAGCCGGTCCGTCAGTGTTGTTTTACCACCATTCGTGACCCTGTGGGGCAGAAACATACGCGTTATATGCTGCGTCATATTACTTAAGAGGCCAATACATGCCAGTCAACACTGCACTTTAAAGGGAAAGTTCCAAAAATCTAAATTCTCTCAACATAGCCACAGACTTCCACAGTACGGAGAAAATTACAGTGGAAGTCAATGGCTACCGTCACCTGTTTTGGTTTGCAACATTCTTTAAAATATTATAATTTGTGCTCAACTGTAGAAATAAACTCATACAGGTTCGGAACAACTTGAGGGAGGGTCAACGACAGAATTTTAATTTTTGGGTGAACTGTCCCTTTAACTGCACGTTACACGCTCACAATGCAATAAACACGCAGTTTTTTTTTTTAAACATGTTACCATGGTAACCGTAGCTTTCGTCAAAATGCCAGTTACTACTACATAGCTGACATTAATTAGTTAACCTAGAAAAACTCTCCGTGTAAACACCGCGCTAACTGTCATTCTGGCGGGAATTACTGTTACTATGGTGATTTTGTTCCTCATCTCTAACGGAACGAGAGCAGCACGCGCTCACTCACCCTCCGATCCCGATGATGAGCTTCATCCTCAAACTGAGACAGACGCGCGTCAACGTGAGAAGAGTCGCTGACGAGGCTGATAACGGATCGATGACCGTACGAAGGAAAGCGTGAAAAGAGAAGGTTGAAGGAAACGTCAGCTGCTCGAGTCCTCCATGGCGTGGAATGAAGCTTGTCGACGGCGCTTGCTCGCGATCTTTCACCCAAGTGAAGCTGCTACGCGCTGATTGGCTATTTAAACACAGCGGAAACCGCCCTCAGCCAATGAGAGCGCAGCATCCTCAGCCCGCGTAAGCGCCGCCCAGTGTGGCCAGTCACGTGATATTTTTGTATCGTGTGATTCATGATGTTCTAATTTAAGGATGGAATTTTTTAATATATATATATATATTACTAAAAACTGATGAATCTCGTTTTTCTTCTTTCTAAATATTTTATACTTTATTTATTGTCGATTTAATTTGTTTCTTTTAACGGAGACCCTTTTATTTGTAGGTATGCTGTGTTCTTATTAAATAAAAAAAGTTTTAAAAAAGTTTTAAAAAAATATATATAAATATAAGTTAGTAAACGTAGATTTTGCTGGATATCCTCAGTAAAGTGTTCACTTATACACAGTATAACGCCCTTATTATTATTCATATAATTATTAATAATATACTAATATATAATGTTGTTTTTCTAGTGTTTATGCCTTTTAGAGATCACACACACACATATGATGATTGTGTCCAGTGAAATGTTCTGGAGGAGTGCAGGGTTTTTCCCGTCTGGACTCAGATTGTGCGCATGCGCACGGACCAGCACACGCTCCTTTACAAACAAACAGGTAAAATATGCCGAATCATGCATCATAATTTTATTCAACTATGTTAAAATCTTTAGTTTAATAGCATCCAGGTGCATTTTAGATACTTTTATATATATATTTTAATTGTTTAGATATGTTCTTACAAACAAACAGCGCGTATTTTATATATTCAGACATGAAAATGATGGGAAATTGAAACTTTTTTAATGGCTGTTTATTTATTGTAGTTTCTGAAGGAATGTCAGCTGTCGAAAGGAGCTTGTGGAAATATACAATACATTAAATGAGCGTCGCCCCCTGGTGGAGCAGGCGCGCTGTTTCATCAGCTTAAAGGGGTCCTATTATGCTCTTTTACAAAGTCTTGATTTTGTTTTGGGGGTGTACTAGAACAGGCTCTCATACTAGGTTGTTCGAAAAACAAATTATTTTTCACATATTTTACATTATTACAACACCTGTGATTGGTTAGCTGGGTCAGTGTGTGCTGTGATTGGTTAGCTGGGTCAGTGTGTGCTGTGATTGGTTAGCTGGGTCAGTGTGTGCTGTGATTGGTTAGCTGGGCCAGTGTGTGCTGTGATTGGTTAGCTGGGCCAGGGTGTGCTGTGATTGGTTAGCTGGGCCAGTGTGTGCTGTGATTGGTTAGCTGGGCCAGTGTGTGCTGTGATTGGTTAGCTGGGCCAGTGTGTGCTGTGATTGGTTAGCTGGGCCGGGGTGTGCTGTGATTGGTTAGCTGGGTCGGTGTGTGCTGTGATTGGCAGCACTCGGCGCCTGGTCGGGAAATGTCATGCCCCTTACCGTAGCCGCCTGCGAGCTTCAGTGTAAATATTGCATCAAAATCAATAAATATTGTTCGATTTCTGGCACAAACCGATCGTTTGGTGTCTTAGGACATCAATGTGTCGTCACGAGCCGCCGGGTTTAATTTGGATTTGTCTGTGCATGTTTTTTTTACTCTCATAGATTTTGTTACCATTGCCATGCATTATACGACTGACAGACTGCAACGGCTGGAGTTACAAATCATCAAATGTGTTCTACTGAAGAAACAAAGTCACCGACATCTTGGATGCCCTGGGGGTAAGCAGATAAACATCACATTTTCATTTTTGGGTGAACTATCCCTTTAATGCGGCGCGCGCAAGAGAGCGCTATCAATACACAGAACTACAAGTCCCGGGATGCACTGCGGCGGAGAGCGGCGGAAGAGGGCGGAGCCACTATCGGCTTTCTGACAGACGCTTTCAGGAAGTGCTCGAGGTAAGGCTTCACATCTTCCCTTTATTTCAACATTTGTCGCAAAAATTAGTTATTATAAAACTTCTGTGTTATTAAAGCGTGTTTTTTCGACTGCAGGTTAGATTTTGTTCTTCAGGCTGCGCTGTACGAGAGGTGCTTTGATTGTTAGCATGCTAGTTTGTGGCTGAGGTTTCCTGCTGCGCGTCTCTGTTTATTAATATTAGATGAATATAAATGCTTCATGCAATATTTAACAGCTTGTAATGAGTGAAACAGCTGTAAACTGTTGCGCTTACATTCCTTCATCAAACGTGACTGATTCTGTGGCGTGAAGCTCAGGTTTGATCAGGATTAATCGATTAGTTTGATGGTTTTGATGAGGATGCTCGAGTGTCAGAAATTAACTTTAACCTTTATGAAGTTATTTGTTTTCACCAGATACAAATATAATGTTTTAGCCATGTAGCAATGTGAAATATGGGTGATACTGCAGTTCATCAACACAAAATCATCAGTCAATCAGATTTATATTCAAATAGATTTGGGATTTTACCTTAAAACTAGCTCTAGAATAGAGTCTTACAAACTTTATTAGATATTAGAAATGAAAGACTCAATGTTAATTTCATGTTCTTTTTTAATGTTTAAACAGAGCTGAAGTGTATTTGAGCAGTACATATGTGTATTATATACATTATATGTAAAATAATATATTTAAATATAAATAAATACAATAAAATTTTTTAAAAGAAATT